AATATATAACAATAAAAAATATATAATATAAAAAGTTGTACAAACTGTAACAATATGTTAAAAAAAACAGACCTAAGGCATGACCCCACCTTAACTCCAAAAAAAAAAAAAAAAAGAAGATATTCAAATGCAATAAAATGCTTTTATTCAATACACTTTTTCTAATAATTATTTGAACCAAACTTTCCAAAAAACTGAACTACAGAAAATGATATAGTTAATATATTAAACTTTATGAAAACCTTTTTAAACTACTGTACATGCATTGTTGAACATTGAAATAGAATTGAAAAAGAGTTACAGCCTTGTGGTGATAGTTTAAAGAGCACTCTAGAACTATAGAAGAAGTAGTTGATAAAAGCCAAGGTTTCTCATTGAGTAAACAACAAAGTTGGATATATTAGTTCTATACAACTATAAAATCTACAAGGAACATCTACAAGGATTAAGAACTTACAAAATCTAAAAGTTGGTTCACCTAACACTTTTATTTTTTCTTTGAGAAAAATTTTGTAAAAGTGGGTGATTCAGTTTACCCTCTCCTAAAGATCAATATGTAAAATTACCAAAACAGTCAGCAGTGTTTACTTCCTAAATGAGATTGTTTACAATATGAATCAGAAATAATATAGCAATACAAACACAACTATACATGTGCCTTGAGCTACTGAAAACCTGTCAAACACTGTCTCTAGACTAACCAGTATTCTATACTGACCTTCTACAATAAAGTCAAAGTTTTTTTCTCCTTTTTGGTTTTTGTTTAAATAATCTAAGTAAATAGAAAGATAATAGAGTAATTTCTATTTAGTATAATTTATAATTTTTAAAAACCCAATACAGGCTTATAATTGTGATTGTCTGATATTTGTAAATTGCAAATTTTATACTCAATATAGGCTTAAAATCATGACTATTTAATTTTGTGAATTACAAGTTTTATACTTTTCTTTTTTCTCATTTTCTTTTTTTATTTCTTGTTATATATCTTTTATTATTTATCTCTATACCTATGTTTTTTTTACATATAAATTTTTTTTTTTTTTGCTTTTCTATTAGAAGATATCATCAGATTGGTGGTTTCTATTGTAGAGTGGCAGTCAGATGAGCAGTTTACCTCTGTTTAAGATAGTGCAGCAGGTTGCATTTAGGTACTAATAAGATGACCAGGTGATGCTAGACTTAGTATTAAGAAAATTCTCTGTAATCTGTATAGTATTAAGAATTCTAATAAAATACTAGTATGACTGCTTAAGTTAAAAAAAAAAATGCAATAAAAGAACTAGAACCAAATGTGAGATATAAAGAAATTAAAAATAACTGTAAAAAGAAAACAGAAAATTAATAGAAAACAGTATAAATTTCTAGAAATGAATAAGAAGATTTTATTTAAAATTAAATGTATTACTAATAGTTTACTAGTTCTTAATATACTAAAAAAAAAATATCAGACTTGTATAATTCAGATATATGTTTTTTTTTTTTAAATATTAAAATAAGTACTTGCAACTCAGGATTTTATTGATAGTATATTTGGCTAATAGTTGCATTACAACTACAGGAGGCAACTATAGAAAGAGTATACAACTAGCCACTTGTATAACTTTAGTCATTGTCTAATTTAAGTAGTCCACCTGAAGGTTCTACACTAGTTGCCATATTTGGAACCCACTTGTAGGTTCTTTATTTAACCATACTGTTTTTATATTTACCCATCTACTTCTGCTTACTAACGACTTCGACTAATGCTGATAAAAATATACCATGATCACTAAATCTTTAAAGCAGTTCATTCATATAGAAAAACTTTGAGCTTGTACTAAACCTTTTAGAATCTTTTGTATCCCATTCTTACAACTAATCTGGTATCACTATAGCCGAAACCAATACTGGTAGTTAGAGCATATCATTAAACTGCTATGCCCTTGTAGAGTTCACCCCAACCTCAGTACTAACTTCACAATATATCTTTACTACTTTGGTATTCAATTCAAATTTTACCAAGCTGTCATTCCAGATAGCATGGAAAGGTAGAGCAAGACTATACCTCTGATTTATATGTTTGCCAACATGTATTCTTTTCTTCTGAAATCTGAAAATTCTGGTGACCTGGTTGGTTCATCTGGTCCCTCCTTAAAGATCAACACATTTGCCTAGTTTCATAAGTTCTAGCTCTGTTTTATAAGTCTAGTCTTTATAGTAACACCATTAAAAGCTTGGGTTATCTCTCTATTTGGGTTTTTTAAGTAGGCTTCTATCTTCCTATTTGGTTCTTGTGATTTATATAGCCTAAAGACTTATCTTGGGTTCATACTGCCTAGTATCAGTTTATGTTTCCTCATACAATGTTGTATAAGTGTCTAGACTTTCTAGTCATACTAGTATGATATGAGTTATAGGTATCTTATTCCAACTAATCACAGAAGACAGTTAGTCATAATACAGAAAGAATTGCAAATTTTCACTATCACTAGGATTGGAACTCTAGACTTGCCATTTAGAGGTTAACAATCTATTCACTTCACTAGGTTGCCACACTCTCTAATTTAGATATATGTAAGAAGTACAGGATAGAGAAAGAATTATTAAAACATTTGCTCAACTATAGGCTATTAAAATAATATTAAAGAGTTAGCATATTGATTAATATGAAAAAAATTCAACAAGTTAGACAAAAATAAGATTACAAAACTTAATTTAAAAAGAACACTAGTTAGTAAAACTAAAGTAGATAGAATTAAATATAGCAAGATATATATATATAACTTATTAGTTAAAAGTATATTTGAAAGAAGTTATATATTAAACAAGTTTTATAAAAGATATGAAACAAAGTGTTAGATTATATATTAAGATTGTAAAAAAGATATTTAGAAAAGAAATTTAATAACAAAGTTATAAAACAGTAATCAAATAAAAGAAAAAAAATGAAATAATATCAAAATTAAAATAAAAAAAAGTCAAAATAGTTAAAAATAAAAAATATAATATGAAAAAAGTTAAAAATAAAGAAGTCTTAGTAAGTAAAATCAAAATAATAAAAAATAAAGAAAAAAAGACAGAACATAGACAATTATTTATAAAAAATATTAATGAAATAATACAGAATAGAAATAATTCATTCTGATTTAGAACTAATAAAATTTCATATAACAAGTTGCATTTAGATGCAGTTTTCATATTTAAATGATATTAAGCTTGCAATTTCAAAAAGTGGATTACTAAAAATAAATAATGTTTCAGTTAGTAAAATTTTGTATTAAAATTCTGACAAGATTGTCAAAAAAAAAAAAAATATATATATAGTGCAGGAAATCTATACTCAACAGTTACATAAAGTGTTTTAATTTTTTAAATAGTTATAATTTTTTATCTAGAAGGTTTTAAAAAATCTAACCAGTAACTTTATAAAGCTATATTAGCTCTATATATATGCCAAATATCTTTTCAAAAACTCATCACTATAAAGAGTTGATGCATTTTAAAAATTGAAATTTTATATGTAAATTTATAAATTTATATATAAAATTTCAATTTCAAAACACATCAACTCCTTATAGTAATGAGATTTTGAAAAGATATTTGGCATATATGTAGAGCTAATATAGCTTTATAAAGTTACTGGTCAGATTTTTTTAAAACCCCTTAGATAAAAAGTTATAACTATTTAAAAAATTGAAACACTTCATGTAACTGTTGAGTATAAATTTCCTGCACCATATTAGTAAACTCTTATTTATCACACAAATAATTCATTATATCAAAAATTGCTTATTATAACTGCAACATCAATCAATTAATTGAGTTCAAAAAATTGCAATTAATTGCCTTTTCACAATTAATTATTTGGTAAGCCTAATAAATAATGTAATTTAAATTGAATTTATTAGCCAAGCGCCAAACTTCTATAGACCGCAACAAAATTGTCCGATTTTGATTGGATAACAGCCGTGGATCTGAAAATATTGTTCCGCATTACATAATTGTTTACTAATTTCTGACCGGAATTAATTTTTTAACCTTTTCATCCCAAAAATAGAAATTTTCAAAGAAATAGGCCCGCACAATAGTAAAATTAACCCAGGAACAATTTCACTAAATAGGCGCTGTGATTATGGATGTATTACATAAATTATTTTGTTACGTTTCGTGTAAATTAGGGGTCTGCAACCTGGGCTCGTGCATGTGCCCAACAAAAATCTAGGCATGGGCACAGGCACAGAAATTGGATGTTTATTATTTAATTGTGCCTGGCATTTGTGCCCGGTACATTGGCACTAGGCCGGGCACTAGTGCCTTATGCCGTGCCTGTGCCTATAGGCACAAAAGTGCCAGAGGCATAGCCACAAAATGCTGAGCACAAGGTGCCGGGCATGGGCATTTGCAGACCCTTAATGTAAATTACGCGAAATTGTAATGTAACTTCACATGATAATTTTAAAAAATTATTTCAGAAACTTACCCTAGCTGTGATTTCATTAGTAAAATTTTGAGTACCGGTAATTCCGGCCAAAACTTTTGATCGTCGCTATTAGCCAATTTTGTTGCGAGCCACAAATCTGGTACGTGCATTAACGCGTTCTTCAAATCAAGTTTCTATTGGCTGTTTTAGGGGTAAAACTTATTGTAATATGTATAAGTAGGTTTTAGAGTTCATTATTTACATAGATCTACACAGTTTGTCTATTTACTGATGTCAGATTCTGAACCTGCTGCAAAACGACTCTCCCTTGGCTCTAAACGCTCTTTGTCTTCTATAATAGCGTCTGTATCTCCTACTCCATTGGGCAAAAAAAATGCATCCAGAAAAATATCAAAGAATAATTTTAAGTCCCCATTAAATCTCGTGCAAAAAGACCCAGGAATTAAAGCCATGATCGAAAAACAGCAACAATTAGAAAAGGATATAGAGAATACGAAGGACAATATTCGAAAGATTAAATTATTATTGGCTTATCAAGAAAAGGTATACTTAAAATGTTTTTTTTTGCTTTGATTTTGAATTTTACCAAATAATTTATACGACTCGACTTGAAATTAAGAATGAGAATGAGAATAATAATATACTTATAGAAAAATGGAGACATGCAAGTCAAAGTGCTGCGGAATATTTATTTGAAAAAATACCAAAGCAAACTTCATTTCTTGAAGATGCAGGATTTTCAAATTCTTGGAATGCAAATTGGGGATGGGAAGAAGGGGACGAGCAACAACGAAGATGTAATTCAGATCAAGATGATGAGAATTACTGTGAACAACCAGACGATGTAGAACAGAAAGACACGATGAAATATATGCTTAAGAAAATGGGAATTGATCTTGATCTGATCAAGTGGAATGAAGATGATGAATGTTTCGAGGATTGATAAAGTTGTAATCATGGTTATCGTCTAACATCGTTTAAAATAATATATAGTTACATATTATTATTTTTTTTTAATCTTTTCGCGTAACAAATGACATAGTACGTGTCGTTTAACGAAAGAAAAACAGACCAACATTATCGACCCTTCCTTATTTTGGGACTGCCCATGTGTTCATATAAGTAGGGTCAAAGTTAGTTCATCGTTGTACAGTCGTACCTGGGTATATCCCCTCATATTTGTTGTCTTAGTTATATCCCAGAATAAATTTTCTTTTTTTATATGTCTTATATATTTGGTAGCATCCCCACAAAAAATTGGGCACCTCTGTGGTTTGACCAATCAAAATTTAAGACCAGGTGTAACATGATAGTCAAAACAAACTTTTGTTTTCTAAGCAAAAAAATTACGTGCAAAATTAAATCTAAGAAAACCGCATTATACAGTATAACCTCAATATAACGAACTTCAATAAACCGAAATCGTTATTATAATGAATTTTTTTTCTAGCTAGAAATCTTGAGTTTAAAATTACGAATTTTAAATATAAAACTTTGGTATAATGAATTATGAAGTAATTGAAAATGAATCTAATAGTATTTTAAAGAAAAAAAAAGTTATCTTAACTAATAACCAATGATATAATTTGTGTCTTTAAAAAAAAAAAGGTCTAGTATTAAAAATTATGATCTTGCAGTCAAATTTAGAATTAGCAAATCTTCTTGTAATGAAATTTTAATAAAATCAGACATTGGTTATCTATTAATTTAAATTTAGATACAAATAATAAAAGAAACAAAAAACCTGGTTTTGTAAATATTGAGTTAGTTATTACACTTTGGGTTGAATATATAATAGGAAATAAGCAGAACTTAACCAGTTATCTTATTCAAAATAAAACAAAAAAGTTTGTATAATTACTAAATGAAGATAAATTTAATATGTCAAATAGTTGGTTATATAATTTTTTTTTTTTTAAACTTTGGCAACAATGTCAGTTGGTTTATTAACTTTAATTTTAATATAGTACAAATTTACAGTTAAATTTTAAGATTAATTATTACTAGTACTATATACTATCTAATTTTACATTACTAATTTTATCTGATTATTCTTATGGTATCTAAGTACATGTCTGTTATATATCTGCATGCAGTTACTTTAACAACTACTTGTAATCAGAGCATATCGTTAAACTACTATACAGACAAAGATATCTTTTGAACTTAATATGACATCCCAAATACTAAAAGAATTGTTTTCTGTAAATCATACCTATATGTTTTACTTACATGTTTTATTTAGTTTTGTTTCTTCTGCTTTCTAATCTAATTATATTTAGTATTACTTTGTTTCTCACATTTCTCACCTTTTTGTCACTATATTATCCCAAATTAGTTCTATTTGGGTATATCTAATTCTTATAATCTTCTATTTTTAATATACCTATTATTGATTATCTTAAGATGTTCTAATAATGGTCTAGAATCTGCAATGAACCTGTATCTTAAGCTAAACCTATTGCTGCTATTGGTCTTTTTGACCAATCTATATCTTAAGCCAGTGCTATTACTATTGTTTCTGCATATGCCTTAGGTTTTAATATTATATAGTAACTCAATGTTGCATTTAATCTCCAATATGGTGTTTTCTTTTATAATAAAGACTGAAACTTATTGTATTTACAAACAGAACAATTCTAGTTATGTCTAGTAAGTTCTTCTGACTCTAGTGATATCATACTACTATATATTGTAAGTTTTCAGCTTATTTATTAATATCTGCAAAACAATTCTGATTATATCTAGAAAGTTATACTGATCCTAATGATACTGTATTATCTTGCAGATTTTATCTCATATTGGTTAGTTGATCTCAGTTTTGTTTATTATAAACTTCTATATAGATATAATTAGAATCTAATTTGATGTATTTATATTACACAAAGAAGTTATATACCAATCTCTAAGATTTTTCTTTTTATAATTAGATTATTCAGCTATGGCAGAAGTGCTTTTAATTTTGGTTAGACTAATTTTTTACTATAGCCCATCCTTGTATTTACTTCTTTTTTTATTATTTCAGTCTTAATTATGTTTAAACTATTCTTTCAATCAAATATTCTTCTTAAATCCTAATTAGAACTCATTTATACAATTTATTAATTATTCTTCCAAGCAAGTACTCTACCAATTAGATGCAAAAATATTAGTATTGCTTATATTAGGAGGTATAAGAATATTGATGCTGCCTTAGACTGAAGAACTTATATACACAATCTTTTTATAACCATAATTTTCTGTAACAACAACTTGTTACACATAGCATCTATACTTTATAATTAGATCTTTTTTCAAATATTTCTATTTCTATCATTATATTGTACTTAAACTTTACTATAGAGTTTTGCATTTAATTATAGACTTTTTATTAGGTTACAAGAGCTAAAATCTTTCAATTTTGTCTTCAGCCAAATTTGAACTATTGACCTTGACTGTGAAAAGTATAAGAGCTTAACTGCTAAGCTATAAGGCCCATAATCTGTTATATAATTTTAAACAAAAATATTATATTTGTAAATACAAGTATCAAGAAGAGACTAATAGTATACTTTTGAACAAATTATCTAAATTTAGAATTAACTACAAAATACTATTTAATTATATTAGCTTAATGATGTTTTTAATTATAATGAAACTAGTTTATATTATAGAATAAAACCATTTTGTATATTAGTAACAAGACTAGTTTCAGAAGCTAAAAAAACAAAAGATTATATTACAGTATTTTTAACTATAAATACAATTGACTCAAAAAGACTAAAATCATTGTTTATTTATAAATATAAAAATTCATATTCAATTCATAATATTGAAAAAAAATTTATCTATTAATTATTTCTAAAATAAATTCACATTGATGCAAAAATCTATTTGAAATCATTATATTAAAATTTTAAATTCAGAAATGTGATATCAAAAGTGTTATTTATTACTTTTAATTGATGAAGCATCAATTTATATTCTTGATAATGATGTAATACTAACTAATATAAAAATAGAAACTTTGTCTCTACATACTACAGTACATATTCAACTGATGAATGCTGAAATTATAAACTTTTTTAAAATAAATATAGTATAAAGTATTATAGTAATATAAATAAAGTTGCAGTGAAGTGTGGCAACCTAGTAAAGTAGATAGGTTGTCAACCCTCAAGTGGCAGGTCTAAGGTTCAATTTGTATAAACAATAAATTTTGGAAATTATATCTGTATTATAATAACTGTTTCTTGCCAATCAGTTGGGTTTTGGGTATTTGTAATCTTAGGTACATCAAGTTGAGTCCTACCTGACATTGGAAGCTCAGAGCATCTATGCAAAGTGTAACATTACATGTATATAGAGGAATGTGAAAAACTGGTATCATATAAGACTTCAGTGCAAACCTGTGATAAGACCATCGGGCATAGAAAGCTAAGAAACTGAGGAGATAAAAACCTACTTGGAAATCCTGAGTAAAAAGGTAGCACAAACTTTTGATGATGCCATTGAATTAATAGAAGCCTATGAAACACCTTCATAGGAACTATTGGATAAACTAGATAATAAGATGTGTAAAGAAGCATATGACCAACCAGGCTGCTAGAATTGCCAAAGAAAAAGAATACATAAGTATACCATACTGGGCCATTTGGATTGGAAGTCTGAAGAGTTGGTTAGTTCTGAGTTGTGGCTAGTAGAGAATAATGAAGAAGAAGTTGAAAAGATGAGTACCAGAATTTGGGTAAACTTTACAAGGGTAATAGTGGTTTAAGGAGTAATCCTGACTGCAAGTGTTGGTCTTGGCTATAGCATCAAACCAGATTAGCAGTAAAAGAGAATATGGCTTGCTCTGGTAGATTTACCTTGAGAAAAAAAATAGTCTAAGAATTATAGTCCTATGGTTAAATACAAACAGATCTGAGTCTGTGATTTAGTAAAATTAATACTAGGGTTAGATTAGAGGATTTAAATAGAACATCTAAACAGAGGTATTAGGTACAGCAACTGGTGAGAAACCCTCAGGTAGACTCCTTAAATAGGTAATATAGAAAATTTACATGTGTAGCCAGTTGTATACTTATCTAATAGTTCAATATAGATGTGTCTGTATAAAACATGTACTTGATATAAGTATTAATAAAAAGCTAGAACCAAAAAGGTCACCTTAATACTGAAAAAAAAACAAAGTTTTAGTATAATAATATTTTAAGTTTTTGATACTTTTTTTTAATAAATCCAAATATAAGTATTTTTTTGTTCAAAATCATTTGGATATATATGAATTTATACAAATAAATCAAATCACTTTAAACTGATTAATATAAAAAAAGTAATTAATTATTGTTTATTAGTATAAAATAAAATTTTAAATAAAATAATTAGAAATTGTTAGCATAAGATTAAAATTCTCTTAGTTGAATTAAATAATAATAATTTACTGTTATAGGACTATAATAAATATTTTAATAATTAATTAGCACTTTATTATTTAATTAAATAGCTTCTAATGATACTTTATTAGAATTAGAATATATAAGTATCAATAATAAATTATTTATAATTACAATTTTATTAAATCAAGAAATTCTAGTCATGCTTTAAAAAGATGATTAAGATGATAAGAGAGAATTATCAATCAAGATTTTACTTAATATATCAATAAAAAGTTTGAAAAATATTAAATTGTTATTAGCTAATTTATCAGAAAATTTATGTATTAAAAATAAAGATTCAAAAGTTATAGACTTATTTAAAAAAAGAATTTTAACTTTAATCATATAACAAAAAAAACTAACAAGTCTAGAATTATTTTTTAGTAATGAATAACTGTAATTCTGAAGCCAATTAAATATAATTTATTATATATAAAAGGAAATCTTAATTATTTTTTTTATTTTTATTTTTTTAATTATTTTAGTTATCTTAAATTTGCAAACAATTTTATTTACAAGTTATCTAAAGTAAGTAATTTAGAATTATATATACTATAAATATTATATATTATTTAGTTTTAGTAACTTAAGGCTTCACATCTATTTTAGAATTCTTTATATATCAAAAAATTTTTAAAAAAAATTTTATTAGTAGTGTTATTTTATGCAAGAGATGCTATTATAGTAGATTATTATTATTAGACAATTAATTTTATAATTCAAATAATAATTCAAAATGCTTTATTCAAGTATTTTTTTTTGATAATTTAAGAAATTAATTCATAATAAATTTTATTTTAATTAATAAAATAATAATTTTATTTGAAATCTAAATTTATTTTATAATTTACTTTTAAAATAAAACTAATTATATTATATTTACAGAAAGTTTAGTTTTCTTATATTGTTTTTTTTAATACTTTTGTTAATATTACAGTAGCTACTACAAACTAGAGTTATAACCCAGTTTATATTCACCTGAGTTATTCATGTCAAATAGGTAACCTGGTTTACTAATTTGTAATTCAGATCAAATTAAGTTATATATAAATTTGCTAAACTAGAAAATATCAAAAAAACTAATTATAAAGAAATATAAAAAAATAATTGTAAAGAAGCAATTATAAACAAAATTAATAAATACATTGATGATACAATATATTTGACATACTTTCTGTATGCAAAAAAGAGTAAATCATATATATTTGTTAATTAATTGCTAATAAGTCTACTAACTTTGCTTTACTTTTACTTTTTTTAAAAAAAAAAGTAAAAGTAAAATAAAGTTAGTAAACTTGTTATAATTTTTACATTATTTATATTATAGTATAAATAGATTATATAAACTTGTCAATTAATAGTTTAAATTATTTAAATTATTTTGCTTTTTATCTTTTTGCTATTTATCCTTTTTTACCTTTTTTTAAAAAAAATACTTATATATAAAGCAAAATTTTCATTTCTAAGAACTTTATCATATAGATTTTTTTTTTGTCTTTTTTTTTTATATAATGAGTAATAATAAAGGTATAAATAATAATGAAAGTAACAAACCTTCTGAACTAATTGGATTATTTAATTTGTATTATAATACTAATGATGAAAACTATTGGGAGATCATTAATAATACAGATAATAAATTCTTTAAAGAAATTGTATTTTTTGATTCCTATAAAGCTAATGATGATATATCTATCAGCTTTAGTGGTAGAACTTCTTTCATAGTCTTTTTAAAAGACCAAGTATATATATAAAAAAAAAAAAATCAAGTCATCTAAAACTCAAATAACTAAACTATTTAAAGCCTAGATAAAAATATATAAATGTTAGTTAAGTATAGAAATATTTTGATATAAGTAAGAATAGACAGTATAATGTATATAAGATTGAAATATTAAATATAGATAATGAAAAAGTTAAATATGGATACAAATTTTTACATAATAAAAGCACTAGAAATATAAGTAATTATTTTTAAGACAAATATAATTTATATAAAAATCAAAATACTGTAAGTTTTTTTTACTATTAATATTTAATATTAATATTAAGACTAATTATAATTATTATACAGAAACAAGACAATACTATTCAGCAAACAATATTAGAATCTTTTAAACAATCTAGTGTTAAGAAATATAAAAAAATCTGACAAGCAATCACTAAATAGATAGTTATTGATAATTTGTTATTTAATATAATAAAAATTATTGATCTGGTCTTTCAGTCTTTAACTGATAAAACAATTAAAAAGAAAATAAATAATAGTTACCCTAATGCTGTTAACAACTTAAAAAAATTATTAGATGATACATATGAACTATTATTACTAACAACTGATTTATGGACTACATGAAGCAAGCATAGATATATTGAAATAATACTTCATTGGTTATTAAATGATTTTAGATTATTTGACTGTTTTCTCTATATGAAATGTATGTCATATCTACATTTTTCTGAAATATAGATTTTTTTTTTAAAAAAAAAGGTTTAGAGTTTGGGTTATATAGAAAAATTACATGTATTATAACAGACAATAGTAGTAATATGATTAAAGCAATTGGTTTGTAGAAGAAAGTTGAACATTTACTCTGTGCAACTCATACTTTACAATTATCAATTATATGTATTTTTAAAAAAACAAATATTTATATTAAATGAATAAAGCAATTAGTTAAATTTTTTTCAAAATCACTTAAGCAAAGTAAATGTCTTAATGAGACATAGTGAAAATATCAACAACATTTACAAACTCAAAATAATAGTGAAAGTAATATATCAAATTTTGATAAAAGTGATATATAAATAGATAATATAGATTTTAAAAACACTTTTAGAACTATCTCTGATATAAAAACAAAATAGAACTCTAAATACTATTCATAAAAATAATTACTTAAATTGTGTAAAGCAATTAAATAGTTGGTTGCAATATTACTCTTATTTAATAATTCAGATAATTAGTACAATAGTCAAAAATTAAAGAAATTACTTTTTTTGTTACATAAATAAGATTTATTAAGCCAAATTGTCACTTTATTTAAATCATTTGATGATGCTATTACCTATTTTAGTGACTCAAAATATGCTATCTTATCTATTATCTATTCTTTAATTTAAGCTCTTAAATATATATTTTTTAGTTGTAAAATAAAATATTATGTTTTAAATAATAAACAGAATAAATTTAAAATAATTTAAGTACTGCAAAACTAAAACATGCAAATCTTATAAGATCTGCATGTTTTAGCTTTGCAATACACATTTATAATATATATAATATTACAAATAATATATTATAATTTGTAAAATAGATACATCTAACTTTTGTTATAAATAATTATTAATAATAATAGTGAAGATTCAAAACTTGATGTTCCAAAATCTCCTATTAATTTAGTTAATAATTTTTTGTCAAATACTTAAGTTATTAAAACAATGCAAAATATTATTTATAATTTCTTGTTTGAATATTAGCATAAACCAAAAATAATTAGTTTACTAGCATTACTTTTGAACTCTATCTAAAAACACTTTATATTGGGATAAAGAAACTTAAGAAAGAACTAAAGCTAAGTTAACATATCAATTTAAAACTTTAGTTTTCTTAAATAGTAAACAAATAACATCAATGTATACTAATTTAAAAAATTTTAGTAATCTGCTATAGTTATTTACATTTATCAATTTTTGATATATTTACAATAAACAATACTAATTCTAGTTCTTTAAATGAGTTAGAACACTACTTTGACCTTAAGCAAACACTTTTTGCTAATAATAATACAAATCTATTTGAATAATAAGCAAATTGAAAGACAAATTTTCTAATATAGCAAAATTAGCCAGAAGGTACTTATTTATTTTCACATCTTTTGTGCTTAGTAAAAGGTTATTTTCAGATGCAAATAATATTATTACTATTAAATATAGCTAACTAAATCTGAAATTAGTTAATAAAATAATATTCATGAAAAGAAATTCTGATATAATTTTAATATTTAAAAATTTAATTATATAAATAAAAATTATAGATTGTAAGACAAAATTAGAATCAGATTAAAAATTATATATTTTATTATTGTAATTAGGAATTTTTATAATTAATCAAAATAGTTTAAAAAGCAAATAGTACTAATAAAAAATGTCTGGATGCTATTTTCTACATTATTTAGCAAAATTTAAAAAAAAATTATATTCATATATGTGTAATTTATTAGTTATATAAATATACCAAAGGGTGTGGGTCCTATAGCTTAGCGGTTAAACTCTTATGCTCCACAGTCAAGGTTAACGGTTCAAGTTCAGCTGGAGGCAAAAACTAAAAAGATTTTAGTCTCTGTAACCCAATAAGAAGCCAGTAATTGAATGTGAAGCCCTGTGGTTAAGTTCAAATACAGTATATGACCAAAGTAAGAATTCCCAAAAGAAGACCCAATTATGGAGCATAGGCACTATGTGTAACAAGCAGCTGTTACAGAAGGTTACGGTTATGAAAAGATTGCACATGTAAGTCCTTTAGGCTAGGGCAGCACCAACATCCCTATACCTCCTAATTAGGCAGTACCAACATCTTCACACCCAACTTGTGAGGTACTTGGAAGGATAATTATTAGATTGTGCAAATAAGTTCTAATTGGGACCCAAGGAAAAGGATTTGATTGGAAGAGTAGTCTGGAAGTAACCAAGACTGGAATGATGAGAGAAGCAGTAAACATAAGAACAGGCTGTGGAAAAGGATTAGCCTTATCAAGATTGGAAGCACCTCTGGCACTGTGAAACATTCTGATATTGAAAATAGCAAAATGTATAGAGGAAGTAACCTGTTTTGTACATCTAAAGGTACCAAGTCAGAGCTCTGATCACACCTATATAGAAGTTTATGATGATATAAGGATGAATGTACCAACATAAATGCTATACCAATCAAGATTGAGATATCCCAAATTAGAAGTAATAGTAATATTATGATGGCAACAGCTGGAAGAGGTAACTCGCAAAACAGATTATTATCATAAAAGGGAGTACTAAAAAGGGCAGATTAGTTGCACAATTTATTGAAAATAACATTAAGACCAGAAGGGTTTAAACCAGTAGAGGCAGCAGGGACCTGGCTTGAGATACATGCTACTAGTACCTGAATTGAAAAGTTAGCAATGGCAGCAGGATCTTGGCTTGAGATACGAACTGTAAGGCATTGTTCTGGCAAATCAAAGATAGTAGCTTATAAGGAGCAAATGACTTAGTAGACCAATTTGGAAGTTGTTTAAATAGGTTGTAAAACATGAGGGGAATATGCAGGTTATCTAATATAGATGGATGTGAAACAAAAATCCAGTTTATGTGTAAATAGAATACAAGATTAGCTCTGGTAGGTTTAGGTCACAGATAAATTAGTCTAAGTCTCATTTCTTAATTAGACATATAGTAATAGATAATATATAATGTAAAAAGTTGTACAAACTGTAACAATATGTTTGAATAAACAGATTTGAGGCATGACCTCACCTTAACTCCAAAAAAAAAAAAAAAATATATATACCAAAAGCTTATTATAAATTAACAGTATTAGCTAGACACATCATATAAAATCAGATTATTTGCTTAATACTAAAAGAAACCAAACTTCAATTATATAATTTTTATATAATCAAAGTCTGATTTTTTCTTGAAACTATCTATTTATGAAATATGTGTCAGATCTGTCTTATATATAATATATTTTACTGACAACTATTTTATAAATATATTAACATATATATACTGCATATATTATTTAACTTTAAATAAAAACACAAATTATTAATTCTTTCTAATGATCATTTGTACCAAATTTTCTCTAAACATAATTACTCTTTTCTCAATTTTTTTATTAAGTAAACCTACTTTGGCTGCTTAAATAAAATTGTTTTTAACAAAATTTTATATAAAGGCAGCCTAGTTTTATATCCTCAAAGGTTTTTACTACTGAAATATAACTAAACTTTGTAATTTTCTTCTTTCTGCAAAAACTCAAAAGTTTATTAAGTAAATCATAGTTGTTACATAGAACAAACTTGTTCAGCTTATTCTTGCTATCATTTTAATATATTATATACTATAAATAGTTTAAAACTGATAATTATACAGTTAAAATACTTCAAAACTCTCTTGAAAATTATATTCTACTTTTGCAAAAAAAATTTTCTACTTTTTTGGAGAATTCTGGTCCTCTAGGATGCCTCAGAACTGCAGATCTAAATTACTAATCAATATTATTAATCTATTTATATAAATCTAACTTTGTTTTATTTATTTTTAATTTTTACCAATTTAGTCTTAACTAAATTACACAATTTTTGTTATATAGTAATTACATCGATCACTTAGATGTCATACTGGGTGTTACTTTAAACATCACACTTTTTTATTTGGCATATCTCTTATTTGTTACACCTTTTTATACATCATATCACTTATTTGTCACACTCTAACTCCAAAAATAGCTCCAAAAAATGCCTACATTAACTGATTCTCAGGAACTAGATTCTATAACATTGACTACTATTACTCTAAATATAAAGACAAATATGGAGTTGGACTTCAAGAAAATAAACTTCAAGCACTAATTTTTCTACCAGTTTTTGCTAAATCTGATATCTGTAATGAGAAAAAACAACATTACTATTTTAAAGTTTCTCTTTAATCTGCTATCACAACTTGTCTTTATGACAAGTTTTATATAAGTTTTATCTCTAAATACTACAAAATTAATCATTTAACAACAATTGGTCAATCTTCAAACCCAACTTAAACTCAAATTAGAACTACTATTTCTGCACAAAGCTTCAAATAATCTGATGAACTATCTGCTTCTCCAATTTCTAAACTAGTAGATCAAACACAATCTTTAATCTCTTCTTCTTCTTCTTTTTCAGCATGTCTTCTTTTTCCAAACTTCTAAACAAATCCAGCTTCTACAGCTATAATTGCTCATTCTCAATACTACCATATCTGTTTTCTTTGTAAAGTCAAAAATATTCAATATGTTTTTATAGATAACTAACATAATTATGCATCAGACTATACAGTAGTATGTATTTTCAAAAGCTTTCTAATTCACCAATCCTGCATATCCAAAATTCCAAATATTGAACTTAAACCTTTTTA